CAACCTTCTCTTAGATTTCTCTCAAGCTTCTGGACTCCATTAACAATCCCCTGCCATGTGTGTAAGTTCTCTCTAAATGCAGCATCAGCTGCCAGGAGGTTGCCACACTGAGCAGCACAAACCTGCCACTCGGAGGTCACAGGCCAGGGCCAGCTCTAATCCTCCACCCAAGGCGTAGCCATCGATTGCAGCGATCGTGGGCACGGGCAGGGCAGCTGCAGAACAGAGCACACATTGCACACTTGTGTTCCACAGGTTCTGTTTCACACGGCTCTGGAATTTAAATCCTTACATTCTAAAGCTTTCAGTTCAGAATTTCTCAAGGACTCGCTTTCTCCTGCCACAAGTTTTTGCTCTGGAAACAGTAAAAATTGTCTTCTTGCACTTCTCCCTTCTTTGTAAGAATGCAAAACATGCTTCTTCCATGCAAAGAAGCTTGCAAACAAAGTACAACAATGCAAAACAGGATCAGTCCTCTCCTTGCAAATGTATGACATGAATATTCATCTGTTGCAGTTCAACACCATCCCTGGGCCCTGCCACAACGCTCAGTTTTTGTGGTGCTTTTGTTAGCCAAGACTCCTGAAAACAGGAACAGTAAACACTGTTTAACTAGGTTACCTCATAGCTGAGGAGCTTGATGTACCTGGAGATTAGCTTCTTGATACTTTTTTAAATACTCAGGCAGCTGGATGCAAACTTCTGAGGTGAGCTGGTTCTCTGTTGTAACCACCCCTCTGACTGCTCCTGTCATTTTTTAAAAATTATTGCAATTCTGATTGGTATTTGACTTTGGTACTTCTTTCTAGTGAGAGCAGAATAATTCATAAATAGGGGAAGAAAACTACTTGCAGAAGCTCACATTCATTTTGCAAAGAAAAAGAAAAGGGAGGTGAGGGAGTTGTAGATACAACCCTCCCTGACATTGCACAAATCCATTTAGCAAATCCAATCAGAGATTCAAATCCATGTTCTTAGGTCTGTGCCACATTTTGAGTGTTTCTGAACATGTACTGGAAGTGGTACAACCAACACAGCACTTGCCTCCCCAGGATTCCACAGAAGTGTGGAATAAATAAATGCTTTATTGGAGCAGGTATTTATCACATAGGTGTGCATGTGCTTTGTTGTGCATAAGAAACACATCTTGTCCTTGGAGGGGCAGCAGGATGGTTGGGATTTAATTCTAATTGGATCTTTCTTTCAAGCATAAGCTGAAGCCATTTGGAAAGCTACTCCTAGGTAGATAACCTGCTGGTTATTCCCTCCTTCAGCATTTCTAAATTGCTGTTTCACTACAAATGGCCTAGGATAGATTTTCCAACTGATGTAATCCTTTACCTATTTCATCCATAAGATTTCTCAGTCTTCTAACAAACTCTCCAACTTCTGCATCATCCATCTTTGCACGTTCCTTTAAGTCTGCTCCTAAATAAAGGAGAAAAAGGTTAGAATCCAGGAAAAGACATCTGAAATCTCCCTCTCAGAGGACAGACCATTTAAAAAGTCTGAGCATTCCAGTTAAGTAAGGTCCATGGAAGTTGGAGTGTGGACATTTGGGCTGCAGCAGTAACGAGAGTGCCCCTCTGTGCCCTTTTGACAGATTTATTTTAATTTCTTTTAGCACTCATTTCCAAGTCCACTATCTGATTGGCACACAGCCCTAAGAGCAACCACATTTATTGAGAATGGTTTGCAGAGCCTTTGCTACTCACCTGCACAGAACACTCCTTTCACCTGGCTCTTGAACAGCACCACCCGCACCTGCTCATCGAAGCGGAGCTGTTCCAGGGCACTGAACAGCTACGGGGAGGGAGTGCACACAAGATAAGAAAAAATTTAAGTATGTGGATATACACTGAACTGATAGCAAGTTCCTAATCTATGATACAAGTGTTTGGGGTTTTGTCCCTGCAGGTGCCAGAAAATTCATGGAAATCATGTCAGTGGAACCTGCAGGTTTTTCCACTACAAATTCAGAATGACACATTTCCCCATCTCTTTTTTCCTTCCACTTAGAGATGAATCTTTGCTGTATCTAAAAACTTCCCTTCCTGTCCAGGCATGAGCCAGACCTTCTATAGGATGTGTCATCCTTGAACATTTCACCTGCTGAGGTGTGACAATGAGTATGCTTTTGTGGTAATGACACAAGTAAGGACATTCACTTGCATCTGAGTTAACTTCAATAAATTAACTTAAATTAGCTAACTTAAATAACCCAGATATCCCTGTCCACATCTGAGGCAGTAACTGTTACATTCTGTTTTCCTCAGGGTTCACCTGTCTTGTCCCAATGCCATTTCCCAATGCCCTTCATCATAAAGTAATTTTTAGATTTCCCACAACTATTCTCACAGCAGTCAGTTATTGATCATGGTTCCAAACACACAGGCCAGGCCCATACTCACTTCATTTACAAATACTTTTCCCAGTGAATTTCTCGCGTGGGGTCGGTTCATTAGGATTTCAGCAATACCTTAGTAATAGGAGACAATTTCAGTTATACTTCATTTAGTTCTCTGGCACAGTAATTCAACTGGGAATATTATCTGCTTATGCTGCATCTTATCCTTCCTGAAAATGCATATAAGTATATTCTAAAACAATCGGTTATTTTAAAACTGGATGTGGCACACCATGTGTACAAAACCCAGCTGGGCAGAACAACTGTAAAATTCAGCAGGCCTGTAAAAGTCTATGAGGAAGCGGACTTTTAGAAAATGATCAGGACATCAAAGAATATATGTCTAAGAATCACTGCAGAAATGGGGAAACAAAACCCAAACAAACAAACAAAAGCCCAAATGGTGCATCTTAGGTTTCTTCTTTGAATGTTATTTAATTTCATTTTTATTGTACAGTCTTGCTGTGTTCCAGTACATTCCCTAATTAAGGAAACCATCCTCTTGGGATTGCTGTTTGCATGAGAACAGCACAGACAGGTCACTCTCAGTTCATGTTCCAGAACCATTTTGAAAGTGAACTCCATTTAATTTCAACATTATAAGCTCATCAGCAGAAAGGACTCTACTCAAAGTTCCTAAGTCCAAGCAGAAAAATAAAACCACAACATCTACCTACTTCTCCTTAGCACATGTGATTGGTAAATTATTATCCAATGGCTTCTGTATGCTTGGGAGAGAAAAAAAAAATCTTCTGTTTTTTGTCTGGACTTCTGCTCACTTCCCAGGCCTTGACATTGGAAGATGCTGTTGCTGTGCTGTAGGTGCACAGCTGTACCTTGCACCTGCCTTGCTTGGTCTTTCTGCCCTGCTGGAAGGTCTCTGTTTATTCCTCTGCCTATGGCAGTGGCCAGCTGCTGAACCAGAGATGTGTGGTGCTGGAACAGAGACACGAGTGAACAGCGGCAACCAGCCAAGGAAATGTACAGCTCGTAACCACCTAATGTCTTTGTAACCAGCAAAATACCGAGAACTGTTTATAAACTCCTGCAACAGTTACACAGAAAGTAAATCCCTGGCAATCTGAACCAAACCTCAGACTGCTTCGTGGCTCTCATGGATAAATGTGCACAGACATGTCAAGGTCCTGTCCTACCTTTATCACTGCACGTTAATGGTATTAGAAAAATCTAAAGTATGCACACCAGAACTTCTTGCGTTGAGGTCACATGCACGCATAACTTTAGGGGGGAAAAAGTATCTAACTATTCATTCTGCAGCAGCGTTTTGAAAAAAAAGTATCAAGGCATTGCTGAAAGCAGAACAACAAGGTGCGCCCCGGGCTCGGCAGGGCTGTCACCCCCTTGTGGGGGAACACACGGCCGCGCTCACGCCAGGCCGAGTGGTTCCGCCGGGAACGGCAGAAGCGGAGCCGCGCCCCGAGCCCGGCACTCACCGCCGCCGGCCGCGCTCAGCTGCACCTCCGCGCCCCGCGGCGCCCCGGCCGCGCCCGCCCGGCCCCGCGCCCCGCGCAGCGCCGCGGGCACCGCCCGCCACAGCCGCAGCAGGGCCATGGCCGCCGCCGGAACCGGCACGGGCCGGCCGGGCCCCGCCCCCGCGGGAACGGCCCCTGGCAGGGGAGCCGGCAGCGCTGACAGCCCGCTGCAGGGGAGCGGGGGAGGAGCGTGAGGCGGGAAACAAGGGCGCCACCACAAACAGCGCTGCCAGGAGCTTGGCTGGAGCTGGCACCTCCTGTGCGGGGTGCAGCCCGGTCTGTGGGAGGCAGGAGGTGATTTGCGTTCTGCCCGAGCCGTGGAGGTTCCCAAGGATGACGGAGTGAGGGAAGGGGGAAGTTGAGTGGATGAAGGGTCAGATATTCAGATCTCACTGTAAATAAATCTGTAGGTAACAAGAAGCATTTCAGAAAAAGAGAAGGATCTCGTCAAGTATCCATCCCAAAGACATCTCTGGAGGAAAAGAGTTACAGAGCCGCAAGATCAATTGGATTGAAAAAGACCTCTGAGACCATCAAGAACTGCCTATGACTGATCACCACCTTGTCCCCTAGACCATGGCACTGAGTGCCACTTCCAGTCTTTCCTTAAACACCTCCACAGGCGGTGACTCCAGCACCTCCCTGAGCAGCCCATTCTCCCTTACTGTGAAGAAATTCTTCCTAATGTCCAACCTAAACCTCCTCTGGTGCGACCTTAGGCCATTTCTCTCATGCTGCCCCCTGTTCCCTGGCAGCAGAGCCTGATCCCCAGGGTGAGGAGTTGTGGAGAGCAGGAAGGGCCCCTTGAGCCTCCTTTTCTCCAGCCTGAGCGCCCTCAGCTCCCTCAGCTGCTCCTCACAGGACTTGTACTCCAGACCCTTCGCCAACTTTGCTGCCCCTCTCTGGAGAAGCAGCGAACTTCATTGCACCTCCGATTTGGGAAAACGTCTGCTAATCGCCGGGATGGGGGAATTCGGAGGGATAAGCAGGATATTTGTAAGACTGGCCATGGCTGTGCTTTGGGCAGGGCCACCGGCCGGTGCCGTAATGGGGACTCTGCGCCTTTAAGGGGTGGGTCCTTGTGGCCCGGCCCCCGGGCGCTCGCTCCGTCCCCGCCCCGGCGTCGCTGAGGGCCCGCGGGACACGGCGACAGCAGCGGGAGAATTAGGGATCGTCCTGCCACCACCACCATCATGCAGCGCCGGGTGTTCGTGGTGGGCGTCGGCATGACCAAGGTACCGGCACCCGTCTGTGCGCGGGGGGACACGGCCCGCGCCGGGGCGGCCTCGGCGGCGCCCCCCGGCTGTCCGCTGAGGGGGAAGTGCTGAGGGGGAAGCGCTGCGGGAGCCGTCCGCGCCCTCCCCGGCGCGGCTGGAGCCCCTGACGGGACGCGGTGGGGGCTCGGTGCGCGCTGGCAGAGCCCGTTCCGGCCCGGCGGCAGCGGCTCCGCGCAAAGTTCACCCTCGCTCGGGGTGCGGGGAGGCCGGACCCCGGCCAAGGTGAACGTGGTGCTCCATAGAGCGGGTCGATACAGCAGCCCTGCAGCGGGCACGGTGTCCCTGTGTCCCCGTGTCCCTGTGTCCCCATAGCCGCTGGCCCCGGGCCCGTCCCGGGACAGGGCTCAGGGAGGGCACGGCCTGCAGGGTCTGTCTGGGACCTTTCTGTTCCTGTCCCTGGGGTTGTGAGCACAGAGTTCGCCCCGCTCAGCTCCTCCGCAGCTCCCCGGGAGCAGGTGGAGCCAGCTGGGCGTGGGGCTGCTCTCCCAAGTAACAAGTGATGGGACAAGAGGAATTGGCCTCAAGTTTCCACAAGGCATGATTAAGGTTAGAATTTGGATTAAGTAAAATTCCTTCACCGAAAGGGTTGTCAAACCCAGCAACAGGCAGCCTGGGTTTGGCAGTGCTGGGGTAACAGTTGGACTTGATCTTTAAGGCCTTTTTAGGTCTTTTCCTACCTAAACGATTTTATGATTTTCAAAGAGGAACAGTAAAAAAAACATTTTGGCATGATGGATGAATCTTAAGACGACTTTGACATTTGCCAGAGTAATCAGAAACTCCTCCTACCGGCCACCTTTTAAATAATAACTTTTTGTCTTGTTGCTGCATGGGTACCTTTCCAGCATGTGATGTGATAGGGGAGGAATTGAAAGGTTAAAGGCAATTCTGTTAATTGTGTTTGCTGGACTAGATCACAGAATGTACTAACAGAAATTATTGAGCTCACTTATGATGTCCTTATGGAAGAGACAAGTAAAACCTGTCAGGCACCATATTGCATCTTAAGTATTTTACAATGAAATCTTTTAGGACTGTATTCCTTCTATTTGATTCACATTAATGATTTAATGACTGCTAAAATTTGTTATATTTTCTCACAACAGCAGTCCACATTTCCTGCGTGTGTAATTGTCAGTTCCCCAGTGCTCTGCATTTTCAGGAGTTACTCAGTTACCACTTGAGTATGACTTGAAGAATTGTCAGGACTCTTCTCCTCTCTTTTAGCCCAAGCAGTATCAATACAGACTTTTACAATAACTAACTCACCAACTGTTTTTTCTTGTGACCTTTGCCATGTAAATTCTCTGTCTAAATTAATGAAAGGAGGCACTGCAGAAAGTACAGCCAAGTGATACAAATGACTGGAGTCAGGAACATCAGCAGAAGGAGGTAGCAAATTAACTTTCATATGCTCACAGGGGACATCAAATAATTTGTAGGATTATAAGTAGTTAGCATTAGGATTTCTTTTAGCAGTGACACTTTTTGTTAGTGATGTAAAAATGCAAACCACATGTACTTGTGGTGGTCTCTAATGAGTTAAACTGCAAAGAAAATAAAATGTCACCTCTACTCCAATGCTGAGGAGTAAGGTATGATAAATTCTCTACAAAGAACAATAATTTTCTTGTTACAAATAGCATTATAAGGAAAAAAAGAAAAAAAAAAGTGTAAGGGAAGTATTTATCAAAGTTTCAATGAATAGTATGATGAATTGGTGAAGATTACAGTTATTCTCTGTCTCATCCACAGGCTTTGGACAGGATTATTGTCCATCTCCATAGTCATGGATCTTTAACAGTGACCAGAAATGGCTCTCAGCTCCCATAAAGTTGCATTATTTTCTCCCTTTAGCCATTGCAGGGTCTGGCAGCAGCATCTTACAATTCTTAGGAATTGTAAAGATTTTGTACATGCACTTTTGGGTCAATGAAAGTACATTTTTTTCATTATTTAAAACTTATTTCTAAATTAATGTACCAATTCGAGCAAAATATGAATTAAATCTCACTGTGATTTATTCTCAGCTTGTTTTCCTTTCTTTTCTCTTGCCAGTTTTCAAAGCCTAGTGAGAGGAGTGCTGATTATCCTGACATGGCTAAGGAAGCAGGTAATTTAGTAATAAAGCATTTTGTTTCATTGCTGATGCTTATTTTAGGTCTTACAGCCAATAGTTTTATAATACATGTGAAGGAAAAGCTACTGTTTAATAAATAGATACATCTAAAAAAACAGATTTAAAACTCAGACCACTTTCAGCAAATCTATAACTGACCTGTCCATGTCAGCCCTTCCAGGCTGAAGTCAGCAGGATAGCTTAAAATTGGATTGTGCACTTAAATAATGGAATACTTACCTATATTATTGAAAACCTACTCTCATTGGGATGATCAACCTTGGAGCATGAACACAGAATTGATTGAGTGACATTTTCTGATAAAGAAGCTTGTTCAGAACTCAAAATACTGTGAAATTGTCCTCATGAGAATGAAGTTGTCCTTATGAGGTACAAGACCATATTTGCACCATATAATAAGGAATTTCTACAACTCTCATATGTGAATGCAGGACTCATACATACTACTCTAGGTTTGCTTGTTGTGGTTGTGAGAGCTGATTTTTTTTTTAATTTTTCCATCAATTTTAAACTTTTTTTCCAACTTTTAAACCGTTTTTTTTTTTTTTTAGGCCAGGCAGCTTTAGCTGATGCTGGGATTCCTTATTCAGCAGTGAAGCAGGCCTGTGTGGGTTATGTTTATGGTGAGTATTGTTTGATTGGGATGAGACTTCTGTGTGGATAAAGTGTGAGGAATGGCATCAATAAGCTTTATATTAAGAGGAAATCTATTTCTATTCCAAAAAGATTTTTCTACTTATTTTCCTTCTGGTTCCCTATTAACAATTGTGTTGTGGCAACTGAAGTAGGGTCAGTCTGCTGTGCTACCTAGAGCAGCTCCCAAGCCACACCTCTAAGACCCTTCTGTCCAGTCCAGTTATGTCCCTTTGATTCAGAGCCTGTGAGGCAGAAACAGAACAAACTTCTGTTTATAAAATCTGAGGAGTTTCATCTTGTTTCTGAGGTCCTTTACTGTGGGTACCTAGAGCCATACTCAAGGTGACAGCTCAAAAGTTCAGGATTACAGTTTAATTGGTAGCACTGCACATTCATGGCAGCAAAAGCAAAACTTTGGTGAGTTTGTACCTTATTTTAATGTTGTGTTTCCATTTGAAGGTGACTCAACCTCTGGGCAGAGGGCAATCTACCATGGCCTGGGTCTGACTGGCATTCCCATCATCAATGTTAACAACAACTGTGCCACTGGATCCACTGCTTTGTTCATGGCCAGACAGCTTGTAGAAGGAGGTGGGTTGTTTTGCCCTGTGACCTAAGAGATGCAGTAGGGTGGTGTATGAGGATGTGCATGTCTTTTCCTGTGCCATGAGCTGTATGATCCTAGTCAGTTCTGCCAGTTAAGTGTTTCTGCAACAATTGTTTGGAGGAGTGCAGAAACAGTGGCATTGTAGTACTGCAGGCACTAAAAGAAGAATCTGCTGAAAAGCTTAGCTTTTTTCTTTTAGCTTGAAGTTTATACAAGTGTCTAACTATCATGTTTTTGGAAGGGAGGGGAGAGGCAGTCTGACAGACCACGCTTTGAGCCATCAGATGAGTATTTCCTCCTATTTTTGCAGTTCGTTTGTGGACTTTGATACTTTCTTGCACTGATGCTGATGTTTCTGTAATGACCACCATAGCAACACTGTGTATGATTGTTTAGTATTTGTAACTGAGACATAAATGCTTGGTTGTCTATGAGAGTTGCTGTCAGACAGTTAAAAATAAATCCCAATGCTGTAGTGATCTTTCATTCTTTGGTATCAATATCTTTGTATCAATATCTTGTCCATCTTAATGTAGCTCTTTCAAAAATGAAGGAGGAAGGAAGGGCAGCTGGCAGGTGTTTGTGTACATATCTGGTAATTGAATAGTTGTTAGTTTCTAGTGTCATTTATAATCACATTGTGCTTGAAATAGTCACACATTTTATTTTATTTTATTTTAAGGTTTGGCAGACTGTGTTCTGGCACTCGGCTTTGAGAGGATGGCAAAAGGATCTCTTTCTTCAAATGTAAGTGTCTGAAATACTTGATATGTTTGTGATTGTACATGGGATGAACTTCTTCATTCTCTGAGCTGTATTGTCAATAACACCACTTGCTTTACTGTGCTCCTGTAGATGATGACAAAAGAAACCAGTTAGTTTGATCTAAATAATCTTTTAGTGAGGTCTGTGATTCTGATGGCAGCTATGACATACTATAAAAAGTCAATTCTAAAACATTCCGTGCAAAATTCATGTGTTGTGTTTGTTGTATTTTGCCAAGATTATGTTAAAGGCTGGGTAAGTGGGGAAAAAGGAAAATACCAGATAAAATGCTGAAGCTTTGAGTAACTGAAGTATCTTTCTCAAACAACACAGCAAATCAAAGATTCTGTCTCTTCTGGTCTGATGCTTACTCAGTTGACCTGTTAACACACTCTCCCAAAAACTAAGGGCTTCTTGAATCTTATTTGTTTTTACAAGAGAAGTGTGTGTGGGTTTGTTTGTATTTTGCCTTAAGGCAAGCAATATTAGAGGCCATATGTCATTTAACTGCAGAACTGCCAAATTCGATAAAATATTCAAGAGGTTTGGGTGAAAAACGTTAAATTTAGCAAGTGATAAAACTGAGAAAAAGTTATCATTTAACATGCTTTACAATATTTCTTCTAAGCTTCATTGAAAATACTACTAGAGTATTAATTTTATAACTTAAAACTATGTAAATGGTAGGATTTTAAGTGAGGTGAAAAATACCTAAAGTCCCCTGCTGAAAATAGTGACTGTGATACAAATTATGTAGCAGTAATTGTTGCCACGAATCAGTGCTGTGGTTATAATGTCAAGCATTTTCTGCTTATTTACTTTTTTTTTTTATAGCTAGGAAATTATCAACACTTCTGATCATGTCCCTGAAGTGCAGCATACTGCCCAGGGACTTGTTAAAATATTAGAAAAACTTATCATTTGCTTGAAATCTGTGACAGTTTTGTGGTGTTGTTGAAAAGAAAAGGAAATTATGGTTTGATTTGTATTTCTGTTTTCAGTTTGCAGACAGAACTAATCCTATGGACAAACACATGGAAATTATGATAAATAAATATGGCCTAGCAAGTGCTCCAGTGGCACCTCAGATGTTTGCAAGCGCTGGCAAAGAACATATAGAGAAATATGGTCTGTTAAAATACATTTTTTTCATTGTCTTTTCTTTATGAAGTGATTTAAAACAATAAGATTTTGTTTTATTAAATGGTGGCATTAAGGTTGCATAACTCCCTGCATTTTATCCCTGTGCCTTAGGATAGGTAGATGGGCATGGGGCTGAACTGTTGGGCAAAAGCTGTTGGGTGTTTGATTTGATTTAATCCTTAATACAAGGCTGCTGCCACTGCTGTTTGCTACCCCTGACCAGACAAGGGAATTGGCTCCAAGGTAACAGCCTGGCCTGTTGTGCATCTTTTATTTGCACTTTTAGGCTATTATATGAAAAAAAAAAATAGACTTAGACTCGACAATTTCACTGCAGCTGTTTTGCACTGATAGGAAAATGATCATTTACGTTTCAGCAGTAGAATAATACTACTACAAATAAAATGCACATGTTTTCTGTGTTTTTATGTGAGTGTTAAATATGCAGTTGGGTTGTTCTGTCATGTTTAGCAGTCTTTATCTAATTTTGAAACCTCAGCTGAGTTCTAAGGAAAGTCTTCATAACAATGTGTTTCTTGTAAAGATGCTTGTAAAGGTCAGATTCCTATGACACAATATTTAAACTGCTATGTCAGCACTGTTTGAGCAAACAAAGTATTTAAACTCAGATTTTTTTTCCCCTTTTCAGGGACAAATCCAGAATACTTTGCAAAGATTGCATGGAAGAACCACAGCCATTCAACCAACAACCCGTGAGTCACGTACTCTGCCTCTATAGCCAACAGCCCTGGTTGTTAAAAAAATTCCTGCACAACAAAGTAGTATTTTTAGAATACATCCAGAATATTTTCAGCTTATGTTCTTTATTATGAAACGAGAAAATAAATAAATTATTCTAGAAATATATTAAAAAATAACTATCTATCCAGTGCCTTATAGTTTGTAAAGAGAGCTCTATAGCTGCCTGATAGTGTGATGTTAGTGTGTCTGCTGCTCAGTCTGGTGGCATCTGTGTGTTTCCCTTAGGTATTCCCAGTTCCAAAAGGAGTACACATTGGATGAAGTTCTGCACTCTCGCCAAGTTTTTGATTACTTGACTGTCTTACAGTGCTGGTAAGGAGAGGACTTGGCATTGTGAAATAGATCTTGATGTTAAGACAAATATAGTAGGACATCTATTTAAATAAAGTCTGTTTGTGTGTTAATTATAATTTACAGATTGCTTTCAGTAAAACTTTTTATAAATAAAACAAATGTGGAAAATCTGTCATGACCAAGCACTAGATATTGCTCTCAGTGTAATACAGTGAGCTGAAAGAAGTTTTGTACTTTGGGGTTCTAATGTAATTCTGTTCTTTTACTAATGTGCATCCATCACTGTTAAGTGTTAATTCTTCAATTCAGCCTTTCCTAAGCACTCTATATATGTGTTTATATATGTTTATAGCCAAGTAGAAGCTTTGATTTGTCCTAAATTGAAAAACCTTAATGACACATTTCTATTTTGATGTAATGATTTTCAAATGTCTGGTATAAATATTACTGAAAGTGTCCAGTAAGCACTGATGGAATTTATAGTTTCAGTGGTAACAGCCAAAGAAAGTGGGGTTTTTTGTTTGTTGTGTTTTTTTTGTATGTATTAAAAGATAAATCTTTGGAAGATCAACAATTTAATGAAGATTGACATTACTGATTTAGAACAATAACATCATTATTTTTCTTTCAATCAGTCCAACATCAAATGGTGCTGCAGCTGCAATTTTGGCTAATGAGGAGTTTGTGAAAAGGCATAAATTGCAGCCAAAAGCTGTGGAAATTCTAGCACAGGTGATGGCTACTGATTATCCAAGCACATTTGAAGGGAACAGTTGTATGAAGATGGTAGGTTTGCAATTCTGTATTCCCTGGTACTCATTGGGGTGGTTTTTTCTGAGTTTTTTTTTGTTTATAGCTTTGGGTTGGTGTTTTGTGGGGTTTTTTTAATTTGGTTTTGGGTTTAGGTGTTTTTTAAGTGCCTGCAAGTCCTACTGATGCTATAAACATTTTCATGTCAGTGAGCAAACATATTATGCTTTGTGGTGAATGTAAAATTCATTTCATTTGGACAGCTATAGAATAAGCAAGGAGTGTGATTGTGGAATGACAATAAGTAACTTATAAACAGTCTATCAGAAACCTAGTTTTTAACCAATTATTTACAGGCTATTTTTTTAACAACTTCAACAGCAAATGAAAATTCCTTGCATTTTTCTCTTCATAATAGTAATGAAATTTAAAACAATCAGGTGGATCATAGAAAAAGGTAACAGTGCAATTTGAGGATTTGTGTCAAGGCTGTTGGTCTGAGTCTTGCAAAAGAACAATTTGGGTTGTGATCAAGGTTAAGGAAATAGAGGATATTCCCCAGAAAGGTTTTGCATGCCAGCAATAAGCCTTAGAATATATTATTTCTTTCTAGACAATTTTTATTGTATGACTATCAAACTCTGACATATGATGCATTCAAATAAATCAGAATACCATCTCCTTCTTTCACTGACAGGATCTATAGAAGCACAGTTAAGTGTAAAAATTAAGCTGTGAGCTATACTTCTGTAATGATACTTTAACATAGAATTTCTCTTTTTTTCAGGTTGGCTATGACATGACTAAAAATGCTGCACAAAAATGTTTTGAAAAAGCAGGGCTGAAACCTACAGATGTTGATGTGATTGAACTTCATGACTGCTTCTCAGTTAATGAATTCATCACCTATGAAGCTCTGGGACTGTGTCCAGAAGGTAAGAGCAGCACTGGAGATAATTGTTTTGTTACAATGAAAAGCACCAAGGATGCCCAAATTAAGAACTGCTGTGATCTCAGTCTAAGGCCCCTTTTTTGGAGCTGCATTCTATCATAATCTTACCCCAAGATTTCCCTCCATCTATGTATTTCCTTTTAAGAAGATAAATATAGGACAAGAATTGCCTGTGGGGGCTTTAGCCAGTCACTGATCTTTGAAACATCTTTGCCTCAGAGTTATTGGCAAGTTGTCAACGTGCATCTAAAGTCAACTATGTAACAATGCTCAGATTAGTTTAATGTCAGTGAGTTTGCTGGATTTACAACAGATTCAATGGCAGTGGAATTCAGCTCTGTGCATGTAAGTAAAAGCATTAAAAATTTCTGTTCAAGAGGATATTTTATGATTTCAAATAAATAATGGATTGCACTGCTATTTCAGTTCATGATGTATTTAAATTGTAAACATATTCTTGTTTTGCAAAGGTTATCATCTGATATAATCTTTCTCTAATTTGTTTTTAACCAATGTGAGGAAATACCATATTCTGGCACTAGGTGGTATATTAAGTCTGAGCTTTCCTACTGAAACAGACATTTATGGAACTCCAGGAAGACGTAATGTGTTTGCCTTTTAATATCTGCTTTCTGCTATCATTTTTGCTGTATTTTTATGGATCTGCAGCAAAAATGGTAAATGTTTGACATATTTAAACAGGTACATTAAGCTCTTTAGGTTCATTCCTTTAATTAATGTAGAATAATCCTGGTGGTAGTTGTCTATTTGACTAATTAGCCTTGTGCATGGTTGTTTAATAGTGCTGTTCTCACAACCCTTTGTCAGTCTGGCCTTAATAGTATATGAAACTTATCTTGGAATGATAGACTAATTAGGCATAAAAATTAATGAAATGACATAAACCACTGTGGATTTAGATGGGCAAATCTAACCTGGTATTCTCATTTAATGGCACCATGGAACCATGACAGATCTTTTTTACACTTCAGTGTTATTAATGTAGGCTGGAGAAGCTGGTACAAGAATAAATGAGTAAGAGCCTGGTTAAAAGGGAGAATTGTCTGTAGTCTGGAAAGCTAAACAATTCTGAACATTAGTCTTCTGAGTGTTTTATTCACTATTTTAATGTCTGAATACAGCCCAAGGTACCATTATTTGGCCTTTGTGACAGGGGTTTGTGTTCAACTTGGTGTTCACCTTCCAAGTCCTGGGGGTCACAAATTACAATTTTCAAAAATGTAATTATCACTGCAGTTGCATGAACAAAATCTAAATAGCTTCATTATACTGATTGCATCATAATGCTATATACACTAACAGAACAATTCAACTGCAAATTAAAAACAGCTCTTGTACAAATGCTTCTCTTCCATGTTATGCTTTCTCCAATGGTATGAGCAAGTCTCATTAATGTAGTTTGGCCAATATTTGTTCTTTGGGAAAGATGAGCTGTAACATTTCCTAGGGTTTGACTGACATGTGGCATCTCTGGTAAGTTACAGCAGAACTGAAAAATCACTTATAAATAAAAAAAGAACATTTTTCTGACATGAATTCTGTTTTATAGGAAAAGCATGTGACCTAATCGACAGGGGAGACAATACTTATGGAGGAAAATGGGTTATTAATCCCAGTGGTGGCTTGATTTCCAAGGGACACCCTCTTGGTGCCACAGGTATGCAAAACCTTCATTTAATCACACCCATTAGATAAGAGCTACAGCTCTTGAGCAGGCAAGTGCTTCCCATCTGTGCTTGAAATGTGAGGGCCTCAAAGCTTCTTCCCTCAAGTCTTCTTTCCAAATAATCCAAGTGTTGGAGCAGGATAACACAGCTTAACCTTCCTAAATAATTGCTCAATAGTACAACTTCTGAATAGTACTTGAATAACTGCTCTAATATGATGTCATCCTTTAAAATTCTGGTTTTGGAGATTTTTCCTGCCTCTAAATAGCCTGTACTATTGTTAGCTGTACTAGAGCCTATTTTGTTAAGTCTTGGATGTCAAAATATTTATCTGATGTTTACAACAGAAGCTCACTTGGTTGCCATTTCCCAGCAATGTAGGTTTCCCCATTTTGTGTTTGTTTGATTTTTTTTTTCTCTTTCTTTAAACTACCATTCTTTTTTCTAAATGTGTTGGCTCTTGGACAAAATGTGTTGGATTTGCAAAGATAATTCACCCTCCTTGGGTGAATTTGGAAATGAGAAGTTATCAGAAAACTGGAGAAGATGAAACCTTGTGAAACACCAAATCTTAATCTAACCAGTTGTAACAGTGAGATACAATATGCAGTTAAGTGTGGGGGGCAGGGGGAGTGTTAAGAAACTTTGGAGGAAAAGGGTTCCAGAAAAATGAGACTGTGGATATCTGTAACAGAGTGAGAGTATTGCATTGCCAGGTTTATGTTAATTTTTGTCAGTTACACAGTGGTAGATGCAGAGAGAGCTGCATTCCAGTGAGAGCTGCATTCTTGCTTCTCCAGTGCCATGGGATGGAGGAAGAGTCAGCAAAATGCAGAAAATGACAAGTCTTAGCCTGTCAGCTTCATTTCCCTTGGAAACAGCCTTGAGGCCAATTACATGCTAAGCAAGGGTCACGTAAATCCTCTGAAATATCCAAACCACTGCAGGACAGGCTGCAGCACAGTACACACCCTCTCCTTGAGGCTGAGAGAATGTGAATGAAACCTGTTCATTCTCATCTCTGACTGGAATTTTAAAACTTCTTAACTCCTTCATAATATTTCAGTTGGCAATATGTACAATTGTGTGCATGACATGCAGATTGCTTGTGTGCCTTGTCCAAAGACCTGTGCAGTTGTCCAGGGGAAGGAACAGGAAGGGATGGGGGAAAGGAGAAAAGTTTAAGGAATGTGCAGAGAAAGGCAGTGGAGCTGGGGGAAGGTCTGGAGCACAAATCCTGTGAGGAATTCCTGAGGCAGCTGGGGGGGCTCAGGGGGGACCTTCTCACTCCCTCCAGCTCCCTGGAAGAAGGGCTGTAACCAGAGGATGAAAGGATACAGCCTCAAGCTATGCTAGGGAGGTTTAGGCTGGACATCCAGGGGAATTCTGGCACAGAAAGGATGGTTAAACACTGAAATGGGCTGCCTGGAGAGTTGAAGGAAGGACATGACACTCAGTGCTTGGTCATGGGCTGGTCTCAATGGTCCCAGAGCTCTTTTCCAACCAAATGAACTCCGTGATTCTCCCAGGCTGGGCCCTGGCTGCAGACAGAGCTGCTGCCATAGAGACTGGGGGTGGGCACAATCCCAGAGTGCCAGGGCTGCTGTGCAAAGGGGTTCCCCTTCCTTTGGGCTTCCCAGGGACATCCAGTTCTGTGAAAAATGCCAATCACTTGTTTCTAAAATTTTAAAAGTTTAATGGCAATAAAATGGTTATAAAAATAGTTATACAATTAGAGTAATAATAATTTGGGCAATTTGAATTAGGACAATTTGAGACAATAGAGACAAAGAGTTACAGATGTCCGGGTACCTTTTCTGGGCAGCACGAGCTCGAAAAAGGACCCACGTTAACAGAGGATTTACCCTTAAAAGCAACAGTCTGTTGCATATTCATACACCTCATCCATGATGCATAAACTCCATTCAAACACAGGATTCTACCTGGTCATCATCAGCTTCTTCCTCTGAATCCTGACAGCGCCTTCGAGGCGGGAAGAAGTTCATTTCTTCTGATAGGAGGGCAATAAATTCTTTCTCTCTGAAAGATTCAGGTGTCCTGTGGCTGCTATCTCGCTGCGAGTCCTTTCTTTAAAAAAAGTATCCTACATAGCACAGTTTCTATTTTAAC